CTCTGCTCACTGGACCCCGTTAGGGTGGAGGGGCTGAGGGGCTGCTGATACCTCCTCCCACGGAAGGAGCTCCCCATACGGGACCACTCCTGCTTCTGCCCGCCCCTCACAGACCCCCGCGGAGAGAAATGATAATCCTGTGAGTTTAGAAGGAGCCCCTAGACACAGACAGCCTGCCACATCCTGCCTGTCTCCTAGGGCCTCGCTGCCTCCTAGAACATTCTCTGGGGCTCCTCTAGACTTTTGCTGCTCAGAGTGCACCCCCACAACAGCAGCACTGATGTCACCTGGAAGCTTACCAGGAATGCAGATTCTCAGGCCCCGCAGGGCCTGCTCAGCCAGAACCTGCGTTTCACCAGAGCCCCCAGGTGACTCTGCCCGGCGCAGGCCGAAGTTGGACGAGCGCCGTTTCCAACCCTCTTTTCTGAGGCTCGGTGGGAGGGACTCCATTTATCCACTGATGCAGCCACAGTGCCTAATCGCATCTTTAACAATAATAAAGATAAAAATAAGTGACGTTTTGATCTCCCAACTGCCTTATTCTTTTGTTTCTGGGTTGGCCCTGAAATTGGGGAAATGCGATGATGTTCACTGATTCCGTCCAAATCCTTAGACCTCCCTGTTGTCAAAACCTGTGGTCACTGCTGTTCTTATTTTAATGTGTCAGCAACACAGTTACCACTCTCTCCACCTGCACACACCTCCTTACTGCTTGCCAGGTGTCACCGTCTCCTCGGCAGGGGCCTCATCTTTGCTGGGTCGTCCTGTCTCCCGCCCTCCTCTCCGAGCGATCCGAGACACAACCCCCGGTTCTCGCAGCTACGCTCACTCCCCCCGACCTCCTTGCCTCGCACCCTCGCCTGTCCCCTCCACGCTGACAAGTCCCAAATGTCCGCCTCCAGCCCCAGCTTCCCCCCGAGTCCAGCTAATATACTCAACTGCCTCATCAACTACACCTTCAGGTGGAAACACTGGTATCTCCAAGTGGACAGGACCAAAATCAAATTCTGACTTCAGTACCGTCCTTAACTGCTCTTCTCCCGATCTTTTCCACCTGAGAAGCTGCCACGCCGTCCTTAGTTACCTGACTCCTCTCTCTCTGGCTCCACGTGCAGCTCCTCGGCCGACGGGCAGCTCTGACATGAAGACGAATCTTGAATGCGACCGTTTCTCTGCCTGTACGGCGCTCACTCTAGTGAGACTGCCATCCTCTCCCTGGAGCAACTGGAGTAACAATCTCCTATTCTGTGTCCCTTCTTCCCCTTGTCCCCCTCCCCCAGCCGTTTTCCACGCTTCAGTAAGAATGATCTTAAAAACGAACGGTCACGCGCCGGCTGCACACCGGCGTTCCGGTCCACGACAGACCGCACGCACAGCCCAGGTGTGCGGGTCTGTGTGAGTGCGCTAGCGACCTGACACATTTCTCACAACGATCCCCATCGTTACCGGCGTGACTGTAAGATCATGTGACTCACCTTCCCGATGCCCTTGACTGTCTTCCTACTTCCCTCCAGTGAAGTGAGTTACCTGGGCCCTAATCCACCTGGTCTCTGGCTCCCTTCTGGCCTCAGGGCCCCCGTGCTCTCCCCCTTACTCCAAACAGGCCTCCTCGCTCTTTCTGGAACCTACAGAGGACATGTTGCCTCAAGGAGTTATTTCTCTGCCTGGAGACCTCTTTCCCAGGGGATCTCTGCATGGCTTATCCATCCCTCATTCAGGAGACTGCTCACATGTCCTCTCCTGAGAGGCCCCGTTCCTGACCCGTGGTCTAAAATGATGCCTCCTGTCTACGGCCATGCCACCCTGAACACGCTCGATCCCATCTGATCTCGGAAGCTAAGCAGGGTCAGGCTTAGGTTAGTACTTGGATGGGAGACCACCAAGGAAAACCAGGTACTATAGGCGTAAAAAATAAAAAATAAGGGATTGTAAGCTCACAAGGTCCTTACAATCTGTGAGGTCAACCAAGGGTTACCTCGCCTAAAAAAAAGCAAATAAATAAATAAATAAATAAAGCGACGCCTCCTTCCCGCCCCTTCGTTCAGTCAGCTTTATTTTGCTCTGCGGTATTTACCGCTTGATGTAATCTGTGTACCGAATGGTCCCCACTGGAACGGGGGGAGGGGGGGCACAAGTGCCAGGGCTGGTTCTGTTCCCCGGCGACCTCCCGAACCATCAGCATCCAGCCGCACTGGATGAGTGTGGACTGCATGGCCGCCTTCTGCCTGGATGCTGCTCCTCCCTCGCTCTTCGTTTCTCCCCAGACACGCATGAGAGTGGTCCCTGCTCCTGCTCCGCTCACAACGCGAGCTTGTTAAATTGAGCTGACACGGTGAAACTTTCAAACCACCCCCCACACAAAAACACCACTGCCACTACAGAATTGCTGGTAGGTATGTGAGCAGAGGCTTCAGGAGAAAAAAAAGACAAATCTTCTACCTAAAATCGCCACTTCCATCCTGGAGAGGAAAGCACTTTCTAAGAAACAGCATCGCATCAGCTTCCTGGTTATGTAATGGCCGCGGTTCTGAATCATCAGAAAGGAGCATGTAGGTAACAGCACTGTGACCCCTGTCCTAGAAAAGCAGCATCTTCGCAAGGCAAGAAAAACCTGTGTACGAAGCCTTCAAAGAGTGCCAGAAAAAATGCACATCGAGAGCCTTCTGATGCACTGGTTGTACCTTTATTATTTTACCTCGTTCACTAATAGTTCTGTGATGCAAGGTTACCATACACAGTTAGATAATGTCTGCATTGCACGTCTAAGGCTATACAGCAGAAGAACCAGAATTAGTACAAATACAAGAACTATATTTACATTCTGTATACTCAAGCTCCAAACATCAGGTATTTACATAATAAAACATGAAAATGAAAATCTGAAATTAATAATGTACATTGTTGCTAATGTGCTCGCCTCCTTCTCTGGGGAGAGATCAGTTTGCAAAGTCTTGGTTCGAAAAGGCCACTTATGCTTCATGGGTTTTGTTGTAGTGCACGAGGATGGTGACAAGGGACTCGAAACCTCAACGGACAAGTACTTTAGAGCCACAAAATCTAAGACGATGCCTTACATGTGAGAAGCTGAGAGAGTCCTCAGGTGAACTGAAGCCGGAATACGCAGCATGAAAAAAATTAACCGGAAGACATGAAAACAACACATGACAGCCAGGGTTTGGCAAGAGACCAACCTCAGCTCAGACTTTCCATCTGAGAGGAGCCGTTTGGCTGTGATTTTTCACATGAAATTTATATCAACTCTAATTTCTTCCTTCAAAAGATCAGAGGCTTTCTTACGATTTTATGGGACTCAAATATGAATTTCATAAATGGCCTTTTGAACAACAAAAGCAGATCATCTCTCGGTTTACTGAGGAAACACAAACCAGTACATTCCCACTTCATACAGCAACGCTTTGGCCACACGCTGGGTGAATCGCGTCTGGCCATGAGGACATCTGCAGTGCGCACGAGTCAGAGTCCTATTTAAAATACATTCGGCAAACCTTCTGAGAGCAGCAGCAGAATTAGAACTGTTTTTAAGGAACAGGTTAACAATCACATTTTAAAAAGGGAACCGAAAGAGAAAAAGAAAGACCCAAGTGGAACGAACGAAGGAACGAGCCCTGCCACTGTCTGGGGGAGCCGAGCGGGCACAGCACGAGGTGGCAGTACGGACAGGTGCCACGTGCCAGGCCGCCCTCCTCTTCCAGGCCCATGCGCAACTAGTTACAGCTGTATAAATATACAAATACCTTACAAAATTAAATATCCCTGTAAATTAGAGAACGAGCAGCAGGCAACAAAGTCTTTGCTTTGAAACATGTGCCAGGAGAAGTCATTTCATTTTTAGATCCCAAAAGACCTTTCCCAATGATTTAGCTTAGTGTCCTTCATCTTGAAAGAGCTGGAAAAAATTCACTGAAAGTATGAGTATCTCCATAAGTTCTACAAAGATGAAGGGGAAAAAGATATATATATCTATATATGTACATTTAAAACGATAGTGGTTTCCTAGTTGGGAAAAATCACTTTCTCTCGCTGCCGACACGTTTTGACCACGTGCTGGATTTCCGGTGCCCGCTCGGCTGCCAGAAGCAGCCCTTCCCTGCAGCCCTGGCTGTGGGCAGGGGCTGGCTGGCCCCGCACGGCCCGGCCTGAGAGCTGACTGACCCCCAGGCGGGTGGGTGCAGGGAAGGGAGTGGGTGAGCACGGGTCTGTGTGGGCTGTGAGTCCACGCTCTGCTCTGGCAGGAGAGAGAAAGATGGGGGAGGAAGGGGAGGAGATGATTAGCTTTAACTAGCACTCACTTCTCCTTAATGTAAGAGTTCTCTGTCTTGCTTTTTTTTTTTTTTTTTTGCTTGTTTAAAGTAGTGCTTTGGGAAAAATAAATTAAAAACCCTCAAAAAGTGGTTTCCTTAAAGGTTAAGTTCGCTCCTCAACTTTCTTGCCACTCTGGCTTCAGCTAAAGCCTCATAAATAGTTCCTGTCATGAGTCCTTTCTGAGAGCTTCAAAGTAGAGATGGGTCTGTCTGAAAAGGGAACATCGACCCTGACACTGTGCTAACTCCAATTTGCAGATGGGGCCCTAAAGAAAGAGGGGTACCAAAAGGGGCTGCCTGTGCCCATCAGTCACCGCAGAGGCTCCTCAGGTGGTGGAAAGCACACCTTCCGAGAACCCCGCTTCCTCACGAGGCCTTCTCACCTGGGCGTGTGAGAATCCAGCTCGGCCTGTTCTAGTACCTGACGCCTCCAAAGCAAAGACTTTCCAAGCCACTTTTGTTTGAGTTAGAAGAAAAAGCAAAAGTCGTTTCAGTGTATCACATGATTTTACGCTCCCTCGGCCTTCCTCGCCTTCGTCGCGGACATGGACCCTTCTGTCCAGCTTCCTAACAGCAGCAGCATCCATGATTTAATTCTAAAAGAAACCTTCAAATTTCATCTTTATTTCCCTGAAATTAGATTTAATTCCAGTCCAGGAAGCTGTCTCTAAGCACCGACAGACCCTAGATTTGAGTATACACCAGAAGGGCATATTGTGTCCATTAGACAATGAAGAAACCTCTAACTACGTTAAAAATCTTACATATCACTTAGAAAACAAATAACAATACAGTTAGTGACCTATGTTTTAAGAAGAAAAAAGTTTTTAAAAATCTACTAGAGTTTTCTTGATCACTTTTCCGACAAGGTCACAGCCTGTGATTTCTGTCCTTTCTTCTATTAAGCTCTCTGTGACTCACTTTTCCTCCTCTCTGCAGCCAGTTTTACTGGGTGAAGCTGGGGGCCCTCTTCTCAGAGACGAGTCCACTCAGCACCTGTCCTGCAGAGTGCACGGGCCCTTGCCCTTTGCCACCGGAAGCAAAGTCATCAGTTCCTTAGCACCCGAGTCAGCAACCTCAAGGCCAAAGGCCCTGTCTCCACAAAGTGGGAGCGGTCAGATACTTTCCGGAATGCCTGCGGGATGGTCAAACAGGGGACTGTGTGCAGGGGTAGTACAGGATGGCACGAAACAACCCAAGTCGACTGGCAAAGCAAGTGAAGTTAACGCAGGCCTTCTTCCTCCACGTCCTTCCCGTAAAACTCACCGGCAGCTGAGAGAGAAAGAGTATCTTCCCAGCGGCCTCTGGAAGCGGCCTACCCTGTTCTGTCAGAGGAGGAGACTGACCTTTGGTCGGAGGCTCTTCCTTTCTCCTCGGGCAGGGAGAAAACCGAGGAGGAAGCTGGACCAGGCAGATAAAGCAACAAAAACACCGAGGCCTGGGCTCAGGCGGACCCTCTTTTCTGTCCCAAGATGTCCTTTCATTTTATTTCCAGTGGTGGAGGGGGTTGGTTTTAATCCTGGGATCCAGAAAGCAAAGCCTGCCATGTTTGTTTATTTAAGAATATAAAGGGCAGGCATCACTGATTCTTTCAATTTCACAAGGATTATTGAAAATGACCACTGGCTTCAGCAAAGACTTCCAAGTTTATACCTGAAAGCTACATTTCTTTGATCTAAAGAAGCTAATAATCACAAGGTCATTACTCAGCATTACCATAATTATAATAACAATGACCATCAAGTTCTTCATCAGAAGTGAAACACTGCCCTCTTGTGGGACATTTGTGTATGACATCGCACTAATTCCAAACTGAGCCACCGTCATGGCTAAAGCCAAGAACAGACCTGAGAAACTCTGAGAGGCTCCTCCTCCCCCCCCCCGCCCCCGCCATGAGAAAAACAGTTCACAGTGAGCGACTGGAAACAGGCTGCTGACCGCCCGCCTTCACGGCCCACCGCCGGACCCTACGATCCTTCGAAACCCACCAGCCATATCCTCAGCTCCTCCCTTCCTACAAGGTCTGCAGCAGCCACCGTCCCAGGCTGCTAAAAAGTCCTCTCTTCTCTCCCACTAACCGGAAAGTGCGTAACTGTGTTCTCAACGAGCCCCGATTTCAGAGACTACGCCCGTCCCATTTCCAAGCTCACCACGACCTTTTCCCTAAATGGAAAACGCAGGGATTAGTGATGGAAAAAGCGACAGAAAGAAAGAAGGTAAGATTTTTTCCTCTCAGGTTCTAAAAAGCTAGATGTCTCCTCCTTTGTCTCTAAGCCACCCAAGAAAAATTAAAGTGATATCACGAATATAGAAAAGAAGAAAAGAATTCTGTCGTTTTGAAAAAAAGACAGATATCCAGAGACAGCGGTACAGACACCAGGGGTGGTAACCATGAGGACGCATCATACAAAAGGAAGCCAAAATACACTAAAAAATAATCTGGAGATTCGCTGGATCCCCTCCGGGTTTTGTTTTTTTGTTGGTTTTTTTCCCCCCTTTTGTTAGGCCACATGCTACTAACAAGGTTCTCAGCACAGGAAAAAAGAAAGAGTACAGAGCAATGGAGCTGGGGAACAGGAGCTAGAAAAAGTGCTGGACGAGGAGGGAAAGTAGTCAGGCCACAGGACTACACACAAGAGTAACCGGCAAGAATCACGAGGGGCATGAGAGGTAACACTTTATCTCTGGAAGGCGAGTGGGGGCGCTCGGCAGTCAGAACTTCGGCTGGCTGGGGCATCTGCGGGAGAGTTTTGACCTGTGGGCGATACAGGAAGAGGCAGGATTAGAACACTGGGCCAGACGGTCCTCCCTCACGGTCTTCCTCCGAGGTTCCCTCCTCAGACTTCTTCCTAAACTGCACTGCAGGCCCCAAACCAACAGGCTGGGCTGTGGTCTTCCCCACCAGGGGACCCTGAGACAAAAGCCCCTCACAGGATCTGAGGCCGGGTCACAGGGCTGAGCACTGGCTATTAAGGTTCTCACAGTCTTCCCTTTACTCAGCCCACAGACCCCAGCTGCAGACCCTTGAGAACAAAAAGTCAAAGCCGGAGGGCTCGATTGGGAGCAAGTATGACCGGTCTCCTTAGCTGCTCAGGACGCCAGATGAACTCTCATGGGGAGCTGAGGCCGCATCACCACCCAGAACCACTTACACCGCTGTCCTCCTACTTTAAACCTGTTTGGAACGAGATTTCCTTCCCTGCTTATGCTGCTGTCGTTGGGACCCAAAGCCCCGGAGGGGAAGGCAGCACAGGGACCTCTTACCGTATTGTGCCAGCAAGAAGGGGGTTAAAGGCATATAACCAGTCATTCATGTCTTTGTCATTGAGAGCCTGCAAAAGGACCCCACGGTGCTTCGTGCATACGGCAAAGGTGTTAGGCGTCTGAAAGAGATACAGGTAGACGAGAAAGTTACGAGCAATGCGGACCAGCCTGCCACATTCATGGGGCAGACAGCACTTCGCACTGCAGGCTCAGAGGCCAGCTATATAGGAGACGCCGCACCACACAACAGAGCCCAGAACTCAAAAAGGAAGGGCTTGCGTGGCGATGAAAAGCCAAGAGAGGGCAGGACTGACCTTCAGCATGGCCTGCTGGTCCTCACTGTATTCCACCTGCGCTGTGGACAGGTTAATGATGCCACGCTCCACTGGATCTTTGTCACTGTTATAGATGAAGACATAAGGGCGACGGACCACAACGAAATGTTTAGCCCAGTTGCTGGAAAGCGGCTCCTTGAACTGCAGGTACCCTTTCTTAGAAACCACTGAGCTAAAATGAGATGGTATGAGATGAGTTAGTTTCTCACAAAAAGAAAAGTGATCATGAGCTGAAGGCCTGCGAAATATGTCTCCCCTAGGCCAAGTCCTTAGTATGAACAAAACGGGAGAACGATCTGTTTGGCCTAGAACCTCATCTGCCAAAGTAATATGGCAAAAGAGCTCAAAGCGCCATGGGAACAGGCTAGGCCGCGTGGGGGTGCACCACAGTATAGCTGGGGCAGAAGCCAGGGCCCGCTGTCACCCCGACCCATTTGAATTAGACCGTGATGGAGACCTCAACACATTCTTGCTGATTCATCTTTTACACCCAGCACCTCTGGTCGATAAGTACTCACCCTGGTCTAATTTCTTCAATATCTGGAACAAGATTGAGAAATTCATTCTTTCCCGCTCGGGCCAAATAGGGTGTTTCCACCACTGGGACAATCTGAAACTGCTCGAATTCTGGGCAGGGACTGGAGGCCCGGGAATTGGCTTCTGGGGTCCTTTGAAAGAGAGAGGTCGGGGTCAGAGAGCTTCAGTAAGGTCAGCACGTGCTGCGCTGTCGGTTTCAGAGAGCTCGGTGAGAAGACGAGCGGGCATCGGGAGCCTAATTCCAAATTCAACTGCTGTCACCCTTCAGAGGTCACAAAAGGAAACTGGGCACTGATGACAGAGTCACTCAGTCCTTCTTCCTGTCCTGAAGCCCTCTGAACGGAAGTGTCTGGAGTATGAACTCCTTTCTAAAGGTTTCTATTTAGTCCCGAGCTCACATGTAGGACAGTGGCTCTTGAAGTGTGGTGGGCGACATCAGCTGCACCCAGAAACTTGGTAGACATTCACATTCCCAGGCTCCAACCCAGACCTACAGCATCAGAAACCGTGGGCGAGGTTCAGCCACCTGTGGTTGAACGAGCCTCCCAGGTGATACACACTGCGGTCTGAGACCCTCTTCCTAAGAGACAGGCAGAGAAAGCGAACATCTGGGAGGAACCCCAGCTCCTGCGTGACCAAGGTGCACAGCTGCCCCACCGGCCTGGCCCAGCCCGGGTTTTCGCGACAAAAGTAACCACTGTGTCTGTACTGTCAGTTATCCTTGGAGAGCAGCTGAAGCCCAATTAACTGTTTCATCAATTCCAAAAAAGCCCTTTCTTAAAAATACCTTACCATTTCTCAAATTGGGATGCACCTTACAATTGATGGTATGTTGCCTTATAGTTGGCAGTACTTTTTCTTAGTGGCACATAAAGTCACATCTTACAGTTGCTGGCATCCTAGGTTTAGTTAAATAACCTGGTTGTGTTATTTCCCCCATCACATTCAGCTGTGTCAGGGTTGGTACATAAGACAGACAGCTGGACAGTAACTGGCGGTTCTGACAGGTGCACATAATGAATGGTAACAGGGCAAAGGAGTCTGACGGCGCACTGCAAAGAAGTGACGAATTCAGGGAACCTAGACCAGATTGGTCTCTATTATTCTTACCGATATTATTTCGTGTGTCTTCAAAATATTTTTTTTTCCATAAGAGTTTCAAAATATTTTCCCCAAGATGGGGCTCTCCTGTGCCTCATGTGACTGAGGAGACGGGCAGCGTGGGAAGGGAAGGACGTTACTCCCTTTCGTCTGAGCAGAAAGGGTTCAAGAAGGGGAGCCAGTGGTCTGATGCCGAAAGTCAGGGAGACGGGCTGTGAGAAGATGTCAGCAGCCCCACCCCCCGCCAGTCACCACAGTATTTAGAAAAGAATTCTACGCATTTCCGAATGCCCCCAGGAGGGGGTGCTGCCCTCGAGGTGAGAATCACCGAGCAAGAAGAAGGTTCTTAGATTAGCTTCTCTTGGTGACATCTGGGTACTTACTTTTGATCCAGAGAGCTGCTCCTAGAGTCTACCAGCGACGGGCAGGTGGACGAAGGGGTGAGGGTAGCGCTGCTGAAACTGGACACGGAGGGATCCCGAGCGATTGGGGAGACATCAGACAGCTGGAGGCAGACAGAACAGAGCGAGTGAGAGGCACACAGCTGCCTCTGCGATAAGAAGCTTTGACAACCAGGGACCTCACTTTCTAAGTCTCCTGCTTCAGGGTGATTCACGAAAATAAGTTTTACAAATATTTTATGGCCTGAGTGTCACATTAGGAATCTAGACATTAACGAAAGGCGCGAGGCTGGCTTTTTATATGGCTACTCCCCTCCTGCGTTAATTGAATGATCCTGTCTATATGAGCTGAGCACTTAGAACAACAGACACTGTTCTAAGAATATGGCAGAGGCTCTGACCTCCTGAAGCTTACGTTCTAGGTGCAAAAGGCAGAAAATAAACCAATCGCCAAACATGTTACGAAGTGTCAGATGGTGATAAGTTCTACAGCAAGAAATGAAGC